CATAGAATGCATGGTTAGAGTCCAAGGGCTTTTCTAATGCCTTTCTGTAGGAGGTGCTTTGGAGAATTCAGTGACTCTTGGTGCAATGACAGCTTTTGGTTTCCTTATCCCTCAAACGAAGATTTGGATGCAATGACTCTGGAGTGTCTTCCATCTCTAATATTCTGTGAGCCTCTGGGAGGGAATTATAGGTATGAATATACTAGAAAGCAGTATGAAGCAGGTGTCACTACTGTTATTATGTTTTCCTCTGGATCATATCACAAACTAAGATGTAGCTCAATACTGATTTCTCTCAATAATTTCTTCAAATTGATCAATTTTTAAAAATGATAACTGAGGGGCACCTGGGTAGCTCGGTCAGTTAAGCCTCCGACTTTGGCTCAGGTCATGATCTTACAGGTCGTGGGTTCGAGCTCCACGTCAGGCTCTGTGCTGACAGCCAGCTCAGAGCCTGGAGCCTCCTTCAGATTCTGTATCTCCCTCTCTCTCTGACCCTCCCCTGCTCACGCTGTCTCTCTCTCTTTCTCTCTCTGTCTCTCAGAAATAAATAAAACATTAAAAAAATGATAATTGAGATAATTGAATGTCTACCCAAAGAACTCATTAGTCTTATAGTTTCAGCATAACTTTCACTCATTTAACAAATATTCCTTTGCAGGCTCTGTGCTAGACACTATGGATATAAATAATAATAATAATAATATCAGACTTGTTCTTGAAGTATATATAATCTAGCTGAGAACACAGACCTTAAATAAGTATTTAAAAGTATGATGAGTATTACAAGGAAGGACAAGATGTTACAGAAATGTAAAATGGGGACATCCAGCCTGGTTTGAGTGGGTAAGAAAAGGTTCTTGCCAGAAGTAACTCTCCATGTTAATAATAACAGATAACATTATTAAGTATTCATCATATGTCATCATGTTATGTGCATTATTTCATCTAAATTTCACAAGAGGCCCATCAGGCAAGGTCTATTATTGTTTCTACTTACAGACCAAATAAAAAGAAAATCAAAGTGTTAGAGGTGAAAACCATGCCCAAGACTAATAGCAGTTGGAGACACCTGGATATGAGTGCAGGTAGTTGTATTACCATGTTCTTTACTGCCTCTGGGGTAGAAGAGAAGCTGGACAAGCCTGGAGACAAAGCCTGGGTCAGATCCAGCAGGTCTTGATCGACTGTGTGAAACTGCACTGGAAACATCAACTGGTTATGTGTGAACTTGGGAGGGGGTTTCTCATTGTCCCTCTTCCTTCAGATAATAATGTGCTTGTGAGAGAAAAGCAAGCTGCTTTGTAATTCAGGAAAGAAGGAGATGGGATGGTTTATATACAACCTGAGGTATTAGGGTTGGTGAGAAATAGAATTTCTCTGAAGTAAAATTTTCCCATAAGTGAGATAGATGGCACAATCTAATTTCTAATAAACTTTGAGTAATAAAACTCTATAATGATTTTAATGAACTTCAACCTGATATCTATCAGATGGCAATAATAATGTTTGTTCACTGTTTTAATAATAGAATAATCCTAGCTAAAGTTACAAAGGTATTGATTCTAGCAGGTTCTTTTTCTCAATACTTAGTTACTTTTTAGGGGGAAAGTGGAATAATAAATATTATAATAGCGGAAGGGAGGAATTTTATTTCTGACATTTTAAGCACAGCTCTAAAAAGTTTAACTTAAACATTTGTTAGCTAGGAATGACATAACATTTAGGAGATGAATTTGCTGGGCAGCATTTAGATTCTTCAGTATTATTAGAATGTTTCCACCTTAACTTCAAAAGAAACAATTTAAGTGTGTCCAATATTACTTTATCTAGGCGCATACCAAAAGCATTTTTAATTATTAGGAATTGCATGTTACTAAAGCGTAATTAATTAGAAGTCAGCTACCTGGACTTCTCAATTAACTTGAATTTCTTTCTGTATTGTATCTAAGTCATAAAGGAAATTGCCAGATAATAAAGTGTTAAAAAAACCCACCCAATTTATATATTTTAAGACTAAAACATGTCATGCTGACTGTGTGCCTCAGATCAGGATTCTGCGCATTCCAATTCTGCTACACTTGGGATTAAGAGCATGAATTTGGAAATCAGATGGACCTGGCGGAGAGTTCTTATTACATTCATTATTTGTCTCCAGGCAAGTTATTTAAGTTCTTGATAGCTTGATTCATTCATCTGCACAGAAAAGACAATAATATCAGTCTTGCTGTAACGTAGGAAGAGTCAAAAGGGATTACATTAAGTAAAGCGGAGAACCAGTTAATGACAGGTGCTCAGAAAGCTGAAATCATTTAAAACCGAGATTTAGTCATCCCAATATCAGACATAATCTAAGAAAAGTGACATCACATTTGGTATTCAGTACTAACTCATATAGAAAATTATGCCTTCATATTTTCAAAAATTATTTTTAACAATGATAGTTAAAATTAAAGCATTTCCTGGTTAACCTTTGGTAAACTACAATTGAAGTCAGGTAACTAGAATGCCCAATTTAGAAAATATTCATGTTGAAAAGACTTGATGTCTTACATATTCAGAAGCTATAGTGTTTTATCTACCAAAAAAAGTAGGATCACCTTTCAAAGTCAATAGAATTGTCAACTCAAATTTTAGCAAAATTTAAATAGACTGCCAGGTAGGAATTAGTGCTGTTTTCTTCCCCTGCCTTTTTAAATTAATTCTGAATTCTTCAAATCTCATGCCTTCAAATATAGGTCATACCATACGTATATAGTAGCACCTATATAAAATACACAGTAATCTTTTTTTTTTTCTTCTGAGACAAAGAAGACAGCATGAACAGGGGAGGGTCAGAGAGAGAGGGAGATACAGAATCTGAAGCAGGCTCCAGGCTCTGAGCTACCTGTCAGCACAGAGCCTAACACGGGGCTCAAACCCACGACCCATGATATCATGAACTGAGCCAAAGTCGGATGCTTAACCGACTGAGCCACCCAGACACCCCTAAAGTACACACTAATCTATCTGCTTGGTCAATACTGATTTTGGGGTAAATTACTGTTTACCCAAAATGTGAACTTTAGATGGTAAAACAACTTTTATTATTTTTATTTTAAAAGGTGTTGTAAAGAATATTAATATATACATTCTACTTACAGAAAATGACACTAGATTGCCATTTTTTGATAATTCTAAAGATTCCTTCTTAAATTATTTAAGTAAAAAACAGTAGGAATTGAACATATGCTATTCATATGCATCAAAAATTGTGCAGATGATGCATGAGGAGGTAAAAACCAGGGCAACAGTGGAATATTATTGCTCTTAACTGCACAACTTGGGCAAGTCACTTCCCTATTTTTTTTTCACTTCGCTTTTCTAAGCATCAGTTTCCACATCTACAAAATGGGAATTGGACCTTATAATCACCCCATCAACTGTAAGCAACCTTCTGACCACATTTAACTCATCTTTCTCTCACAACTACCAAGATAGTGAGGGAAACACTGCCATGTGGCTCACTATATGACTGGAAGATTCAATAAGTCAACTGAAATGTCTTCAATTCTACCATTGGAGAGCGCCTCTCAGTCTATAGAGATTAACATTTCAATTTTCTTTTCAGTTGCCTGCTCATAGAGATACATTGTATAGCCCAAGCCCAATATTTAAACATTGTGCTTTTGTTTTGTTTTTTGTTTTTTTGTGCCCTGGACATGTGAGGTGCAATGAGGGAAACAAAAGAAGTGTCAGAAATGGTGACTGTCCTCAAGGAGTTTACAGCTTCCCTGGGAAGGCAGTAAGAGAACAAGTTAGGCATTTAGGTGAGCAAATATAATTGGATATGGCGAATTTTACCCAGGATGGGGAGGTGAAAAGTGTTAGCGAGTTTGAGGAGGAGAAGGCGACATGGCCTAGAGGGAAGAGGAGTTTAAAGTAAAGGGTAAGAAGAAGGAGAACATTCTAAGCTGGGTTAGCTATGTGTATAAAGCCTCAAAAGTGATGTTTTTAAATGTATAATTGAACAAGTTCACCAGAAAAAAGCAAAATAGTAATACCTGTTTACTCTTTATTTGCAAACTAACATGCTTGTTGGTTGAATCATTTTGTTAATTATACCTTGTCACCAATGATTACGTTATTAACCACGTCCTTTTTTTAATTTTCCAAAATATTCTCTAACTATAACGATCTTGACCAACTAAGTTACTTTATCTCTTTTCCTTGTTTGTTTTGTAAGTGTGGTGTGGCTGGGGGGAGGTGGTATTTATAAAGACTGCCAAATAGGATTCCATTTATTTCTTTTTAAGAAATTCTAAGCTGGCTTAGGAAAATGGGAAAGGGTGCAGACAGGTGAGGCATGATCAGATGCCACTGGTAAAGGCTGGCACCTGGCTGATGTCCGCAAAAGTATACCCAGGCTATAAAGGAAACCCTGGCTAATGAATGTGCCCCACTGTGTTTTGTGGCTGATTAAAAGAGGACAAAGAAAGGGCCAGTTAGAGTAGGTAGAAGCCAGGAGCCTTCAACAAGAGGTTGTTGTTACCTTGCCAAAGAAGATATCTAGATAACCAGGGACAGGCACCTTCTGAGCCACTTGTCATTCTTAAGCTTCATGCCCTTGCATGACTGGTTGTTTCCGTGTATCATCTTTCATTTCCTTCTTTCCTCCCTTAGTTAACCTTATAGTTGAGGAAATCATAAAGAAGAATTTCATCCTATCAAAAAATATCAAAAAAGAATTTCATCCTGAAATGATGACCAACTTGGCTTCATTAGGGAAGTATATTTCAAACTAACAAGATTTACTGACATATATTAATATTAATATTGAGCTATGTATAAGATCTACAGATCTCTGTGGCTATAGATATAAAGAAACCAATAACCTATAAGTGAAGCTATAGATATTTTTATGTATTGATAAATAAAAGGCATTGAACGCAAAATCTCTAGATATGTATTTTTAAAGCTACTTTATTTATTTTTTTAATGTTTTTTTAATTTATTTCTAGGAGAGAGAGAGAAAGACAGCGTGAGCAGGGGAGGGTCAGAGGAGAGGGAGTCACAGACTGAAACAGGCTCCAGGCTCTGAGCTGGCAGTCAGCACAGAGCCCGACGCGGGGCTCGAACCCACGAACCGCGAGATCATGACCTAAGCGAAAGTTGGACGCTTAACCTACTAAGCCACCCAGGCGCCCCTTAAAGCTACTTTAAAATAAATAAAATAAAATAAAATAAATTTAAATTAAATTTTAAAGTGGTTCTTTTTCAGGTTTTCTCTAGTCACCTGAAACCACATACTCCTTAAATCCCCAAACTTCAAAACATATTCACTTCCTTCAGCTGACATTATTCACAAATAAGGAAGCAAAGAAACCCCACCTCAACAAAACCTAACATTTCATGGAGTTTAGGGCCCTCCAAACATCATAAAATAATATAATATAATTGCTCTCATTTGAAAGGTCAGTGACATTTAAGGCTGTCTCTGGTCAAAAGCACTCATCTCAGGCACAGATTTAATGGCAGCCTAAGCAGACTTGCTAATCCTTTGGTCCTCAGCACAGTTGCTTGGAATGAAGAGGTAGGCATGGTGCAAAATATGCAAATTACAAGTTCCCATGGTTATAGCAGACAGAAGGCAGCTGCAGCGGGCACGCTGGACTGGAGGCTGGCTGTACAGAGCTGACGGGGACTCCGGTAGGCTGGAAAAAAGAGAATGATCCAAGACAAAGAAAAGTCGAACTTTCTATGAATTGTTGTTTCTTTCCTATTTCTCCCCTTTTGTTATCTCCCTAATCTCTTACCTAACCTTTCTTCTTTTTGTTGTGGGAATGACCACAGGTCTCATTCAGCATTCCACAAAACATAGAAAATTTTTTATTTTTTTAATAACTGATGATAAACTTGCTGTCATGCTTCCTTGCTTAGGTACCTAGGAATGAGAAAGAGGAATCTATTTGATCTCCTCAAATAAAATATCCCAGTGCAATCTGATACTGCTTTAAATCTTAGACTTTTCTAAAAGCTTAAATCTCTCCCCTTCCTGCTCAGGGTAGTTTTTGCTCAGCAGCACCTGCTACTGCTGATGTTGGAAATAGTGAGCTGCAGGGGTTGGCATTCCCTGTATTCCTCATCTTTCTCATTATTTCTCTGTTTTTAACTTTGAGCTGCATCCTCTGCAGAAAGAGCAAAAGAGCTGGAGGGGAAGGAAACCATCTTCCTACGAGGCTGAAGGCAGTCCACAGAATCTAGAACCCTGGGTATGGTCACTCCTTTTTTGACCCCTGCTGTGTGCCAATTCTCTGGTCTGTTTCCTGGCATGATGATGCAGACTAAGCCACACCTGGGTATATTTGGGTGGAGGGAAGTGCCCATGACTTAGTCCTTGACCATTCTGCTTTTTGTAGTCTCTGCTAAAATGGGGTTGCAGGGTAAGTGACATACAAAATTTTCATCAGCAGCATTCAGCTCTAAAATGTAACCAATCCAAAAGATCATTGGAGGATAGTCTAACTTTCCTGTGGCTCTTGCCTAAGTACATGCTGTATCCCTTCAGGCTGGGCAATTCAGCTTTGTATAGTGATCACAAAGGCAAACTATAGGTTTCCTTCCTTTGGCTAATTTCATTTGGGTCACAGAAACCAGCTGAGTTCTTGCTTTGATACCCAAAGCCATGGAAAACTGGAATGGCAATATCCTCACTTTCTCTTTCCTTGGTGTGCTCCATACTATGGTCCCCTCTCATTTTATTGGCTTACTGCTGAGACTTTTGCCATCAAAAATATATAGATAAGCATCTGGAATCATTCCTTAATTTCCAGAAACATCCCCAAACTTTGGAGGACTTTTGTATAATGTGCTTAATTACTCAATTCAGGGAAAAAGAAGGCATACTGGCAGTAGTTTAGTTGGGCCTAACTGGTGGAGTAGATAGCACTTAAAAAAAGTATCATAAAGTAAAATTAACTTTGTATATGTGTATGTACATGTGCATGTGTACACAGTTCTATGAATTTTAACATATATATACATAAATATACATATATAATACATACACATGTAAATTTATACAACCAACCACCACCAAAATCAGGAATGGTTACATCACCCCAAAACCTCACTTGCACTATTCCTTTATAGATATACCTTCCTCTCACCCATAATCCCTGGAAATCATTGATCTGTTCTTTAATACAATAGTTTTGTCCCTTCAAGAATGTCATAAAAATGAAATCACAAAGATGTAATTTCTTGAGACTTGCTTCTTTCACGCAGCTAGTCTGAAGGATTTTGAGATTCAACCTAGTTATTAGTTATTGAATGTATCAACAGTTGTTGCTTTTTAATGCTGAGTATTCCTCTGGATGGGTGTTTCACAGTTTGTTCATCCATTTACCCTAGGAAGACATTGGGCTGTGTCCAACTTTTAGTGATTATGAATAGACTTGCTATAAACATTCATGTATAGGTCTTGTCTGAACATTAGTGTTCATTTCTCTAGGAAAAATACTCAGGAGGAAGATTGCTAGGTCATATGGTAAATATATGTTTAACATTAATAAAAACCAAACAAAACACAACCGCCAAGTTATTTTCCCAGAATGATTTCACCAGGTTTGCAATACACAAGAGATCCATCTTTCCTCATCTTTTCAGGATTTGGTATTTTCTCTGTTTTGTATTTATGCCATTCTAATATGGGTGTAGTAGTATCGCCTTATGGTTTTAGCTTGCACTTCCCTAACGCCTATCTTTATAACCTCTTTAGTGAAGTAATTATTCAAGTCCTTTGTCCATTTTTTTCTATTAGCCCATTTATTGAGTTTTTTCCCCTTCTTTCTTTTTTCTTTTTTGAGATTTGGTGTTTTTAAAAATATTTTTAAATGTTTTATTTATTTCTGAGAGAGAGATAGAGACAGCGTGAGCAGGGGAGGGTCAGAGAGAGAGCGAGATACAGAATATGAAACAGGCTCCAGGTTCTGAGCTAGCTGTCAGCACAGAGCCCAACACGGGGCTCAAATCCATGAACCGTGAGATCATGACCTGAGCCGAAGTCGGACGCTTAACCGACTGAATCACCCAGGCGCCCCTAGTTTCAATGTTTTTTTAAATATATTCTAGATATAAGTCCTTTGTCTGGTATGTGGCTTGTAAATATTTTACCAGTCTGTAGTTTATCTTTTCATTTTCTTAACAGTGTCTTTCGGTAAACAAAATGTTTTAATTTTTGATGAACTATAATTTATCATATTTTTCTTGTATAGATCATGCTAATGGAATATTGTGTCTAGAGACTCTTCGTCTAAACCTAGGTCATGAGATTGTTCACCTCTTTTAAAAGTTTTATGGTTATGGGGCACCTGGGTGGCTCAGTTGGTTAAGTGTCCAACTTTGGCTTAGGTCATTATCTAACAGTCCAAGGGGTCAAACCCCACATTGGGTTCTGTGCTGACAGCTCAGAGCCTGGAGCCTACATTGGATTCTGTGTCTCCTTCACTCTCTGCCCCTCCCTGGATCATGGTCTGTCTCAAAAATAAATAAACATTAAAATTTTTTTTAAAGTTTTATGGTTGTCAGTTTTAGATTTAAACTTATCCATTTTTAGTTAATTTTTGTGTGTGAGATTTATTTATTGATGTTTATTTATTTATTTTGAGAAAGAGACAGAGAGCACACATGCAAGGTGGAGGGTGGGCAGAGAGAGAGGAAAAGAGAGAATCCCAAGCAGGTTCTGCACTGTCAGCATGGAGTCCAATACAGGGCTCCATCTCACAAACCCAAGACATCATGACCTGAGCTGAAATTAAGAGTCAGATGCTTAACTGACTGAGTCACCCAGGCACCCTTGTGTGTGAGATTTAAACTGAGGTATACTTCTTTTTTAATGAAGATGACCTATTTTTCCAACATCATTTGTTGAAAGGACTATAATTCTCTATTGAATTGCTTTTGCATTATTGTTAAAAATGAAATAGTCACATTTGTGTGGGTCTGTTTCTGGATTCTCTTCACTTCTCTTGGCCTGTATGTATTTCTTCATAAATATCACTGTGTCTTATTACTGTAGCTTTAAAGTCTGAAAATTGGATATGTGATTCCTCCAACTTCATTATTCTTCAAAATTGTTTTAACTATTCTAGTTCCTCTGCCATTCATATTCATTTTGGAATCAGTTTGTTTATATCTTCAAAAAATCCTGCTTGTATTTAGATTGGTATTGCATTAAATCTATAGATCAACTTGGTGAAAATTGGCATCTTTTCCATGTTCATTCCGATTAATGAACATAGTATGTCTCTATTTATTTTGGTCTTCTTGGATTTTTTAAAATGGATGTTTTGTAGGTTTTGGCATATAGTTCCTGAATATATTTTTAGATTTTACCTAAGTAAACATTGCAATTTGGGGAGTTATTATGAATGGCATATGTTTTTTAAAAAATTATTTGGATGTTTTTATTTACTTTTGAGAAAGAGAGACAGAGCTTGAGTGGGGGAGGGGCAGAGAGGGAAGGAGACATAGAATTTGAAGCAGGCTCCAGGCTCTGAGCTGTCAACACAGAGCTTGATGCAAGGCTCCAACTAACGAACTGTGAGATCATGACCTGAGCCCAAGTCAGACACTTAACTGATTGAACCACCCAGGAGCCTCAAACGGCATATATTTTTTTTAGTTTTGAGTCTTTTCTTTTTTAAATTACAGTAAAATACACATAACATAAATTTTAACATTATAACCACTCTATTTTATTTAATTTAAGTAAAGTCTACCCCCAACCTGGGGCTTAAACTCATGACCCTGAGATCAAGAGTCATGTGCTCTACCAACTGAGCCAGCCATGTGCCCCCTCATTTTGACAATTTTAAAATGTACAATCAGTGGCATCAAATACATTCATAATGTTGTACAACCATCACCACTATCTAGTTCCAGAACTTTTTATTACCCAAAGTAAATATTACTTTTTAAACTTCAGTTTTCAATTGTACATTATTAGTATACAGAAATAAGACTCCTGTTTATCTTGTGAGCTTTCTAA